CATAGCAAAGGAAGACCCAGAGTTACCTCTGCTGCAGAGGATAAGTTCATTAGAGTTACCAGACTCAGAAATTGCAGCCCAAATAAATGCTTCACAGAGTTCAAGTAACAGACACATCTCAACATCAACTGTTCAGAGGAGACTGCATGAATCAGGCCTTCATGGTCGAATTGCTGCAAAGAAACCACTACTAAAGGACACCAATAAGAAGAGACTTGCCAAGAAACACGAGCAATGGACATTAGACTGGTGGAAATTTGAAATTTGAGATTTTTGGTTCCAACCCCCGTGTCTTTGTGAGGTGCAGAGTAGGAGGCATGGAGGAGGAGGTGTGGGGGTGCTTTGCTAGGGACACTGTCTGTGATTTATTTAGAATTCAAGGCACACTAAACCAGCATGGCTACCACAGCATTCTGCAGCGATACGCCATCCCATCTGGTTTGCGCTTAGTGGGACTGTCATTTGTTTTTCAACAGGACAATGACTCAAAACACACACCTCCCAGGCTGTGTAAGAGCTATTTGACCAAGAAGGAGAGTGATGGAGTGCTACATCAGATGACCTGGCCTCCACAATCACCCAACCTCAACCCAATTGAGATGGTTTGGGATGAGTTGGACCGCAGAGTGAAGGAAAACCAGCCAACAAGTGCTCAGCATATGTGGGAACTCCTTCAAGACTGTTGGAGAAGCATTCCTCATGAAGCTGGTTGAGAGAATGCCAAGAGTGTGCAAAGCTGTCATCAAGGCAAAGGGTTACTTTGAAGAATCGCAAATATAAAATATATTTTTATTTGTTTAACACTTTTTTGGTTATTACATGATTCCATATGTGTTATTTCATAGATTTGATGTCTTCACTATTATTCTACAATGTAGAAAATAGTACAAATAAAGAAACACCCTGGAATGAGTAGGTGTGTCCAAACTTTTGACTGGTACTGTATATGTATTGCCTATGTTTTTGTTGAACCCTGGGTTAAATTGCAACAAAAGCTGTTGATGACTTTGCAAATGCTATATAGGTCTAAATGGTTGTATTGATGATATGTGACTTACAAAGTATGGTTACTTTTCATTTGCTCGGTTAAACCCACCCTTTAGAAGGATTTCGACAGTAACATTGAATATACACTGCTCAAAAAAATAAAGGGAACACTTAAACAACACATCCTAGATCTGAATGAATGAAATAATCTTATTAAATACTTTTTTCTTTACATAGTTGAATGTGCTGACAACAAAATCACACAAAAATTATCAATGGAAATCAAATGTATCAACCCATGGAGGTCTGGATTTGGAGTCACTCTCAAAATTAAAGTGGAAAACCACACTACAGGCTGATCCAACTTTGATGTAATGTCCTTAAAACAAGTCAAAATGAGGCTCAGTAGTGTGTGTGGCCTCCACGTGCCTGTATGACCTCCCTACAATGCCTGGGCATGCTCCTGATGAGGTGGCGGATGGTCTCCTGAGGGATCTCCTCCCAGACCTGGACTAAATAATCCGCCAACTCCTGGACAGTCTGTGGTGCAACGTGGCGTTGGTGGATGGAGCGAGACATGATGTTCCAGATGTGCTCAATTGGATTCAGGTCTGGGGAACGGGCGGGCCAGTCCATAGCATCAATGCCTTCCTCTTGCAGGAACTGCTGACACACTCCAGCCACATGAGGTCTAGCATTGTCTTGCATTAGGAGGAACCCAGGGCCAACCGCACCAGCATATGGTCTCACAAGGGGTCTGAGGATCTCATCTCGGTACCTAATGGCAGTCAGGCTACCTCTGGCGAGCACATGGAGGGCTGTGTGGCCCCCCAAAGAAATGCCACCCCACACCATGACTGACTCACCGCCAAACCGGTCATGCTGGAGGATGTTGCAGGCAGCAGAACGTTCTCCACGGCGTCTCCGGACTCTGTCACGTCTGTCACATGTGCTCAGTGTGAACCTGCTTTCATCTGTGAAGAGCACAGGGCGCCAGTGGCGAATTTGCCAATCTTGGTGTTCTCTGGCAAATGCCAAACATCCTGCACGGTGTTGGGCTGTAAGCACAACCCCCACCTGTGGACGTCGGGCCCTCATACCACCCTCATGGAGTCTGTTTCTGACCGTTTGAGCAGACACATGCACATTTGTGGCCTGCTGGAGGTCATTTTGCAGGGCTCTGGCAGTGCTCCTCCTGCTCCTCCTTGCACAAAGGCGGAGGTAGCGGTCCTGCTGCTGGGTTGTTGCCCTCCTACGGCCTCCTCCACGTCTCCTGATGTACTGGCCTGTCTCCTGGTAGCGCCTCCATGCTCTGGACACTACGCTGACAGACACAGCAAACCTTCTTGCCACAGCTTGCATTGATGTGCCATCCTGGGTGAGCTGCACTACCTGAGCCACTTGTGTGGGTTGTAGACTCCGTCTCATGCTACCACTAGAGTGAAAGCACCGCCAGCATTCAAAAGTGACCAAAACATCAGCCCGGAAGCATAGGAGCTGAGAAGTGGTCTGTGGTCACCACCTGCAAAATCAGTCCTTTATTGGGGGTGTCTTGCTAATTGCCTATAATTTCCACCTGTTGTCTATTCCATTTGCACAACAGCATGTGAAATGTATTGTCAATCAGTGTTGCTTCCTAAGTGGACAGTTTGATTTCACAGAAGTGTGATTGACTTGGAGTTACATTGTGTTGTTTAAGTGTTCCCTTTATTTTTTTGAGCAGTGTATTTAGCTATTAATAGATTGCTCAATAATCATTCTCACAATAGCACATTGGTAGTAGTCAGTGATAAATATCAAATCTAAGCAGGACTGGGCTTGGTTAAAACCCTGTACCAGTACGAGGTGCTGCCCATCCTATAGTATTTTTTTCTGATAGTGGGTATAATGTTGAAGATCTGACATTGTTTCAAATGTACAAATTCAACATATTTTATGCAAGGTTTGTCTATGTTGAAAATTCATTAGAATAGCTAGGTTTCCATCCAATTGGTGACAGATTTTAATTTGAATATTCTAAAATCCGCATTTTCCCACCAGATGTGTTTACATCAAATTGACTTGTTGCGGGTTAAATGCTGTGCGTGATGACGTAGTGCACATAAAAACTTCTGTGGTTAAATTCCCATGTAGGCTAGTGATGGGCATTCCGAGTCTTTTCTTTGAGCTGGCTCATTAGGCTCTGTTCACGTAAAAGAGCCTGCTAATTTGGCTCCCAAACGGCTCTTTGTTCAAAATGCTTAAAAAACGACCTAGAACTGTGAAAAGAATTGCATATCTCCAATGTTAAGCCCAAAAGGTAGGCTACCATTTAGGCCTATGTCAGATCGTGAAATGTGCGTTCAAATACATTTTTACCTAGCCAGATTATTAAATGACCTGCAAAAAAAGTACGTTTTTTTACAAACGGAAAAAATCACCGTGGACCAGATTGAGGCGCTCTCCCCGCTATTTATTGTTTATTCAGTGAGGATTCACCCTCTTAAGAGCAAGGCTCTCCAACCCTGTTCCTAAAAAGCTACACTCCTGTAGGTTTTTACTCGAACCCCAGTTGTAACAAACTTGATTCATCTTAATAAACCAGCAAATTATTAGAATCAGGTGCAATAGATTAGGGTTGGAATGAAAGCCTACAGGATAGTAGCTCTTCAGGAACAGGGTTGGAGACCCCTGACTTTAGATCATTATTTTGTAACTTATCTGCAGAAAAACATTGTTTTAGCTCAAAAAGCAGTAGTAGCAGTATGCAAATCAGGGAGCGATGGAAACCCATTTAACTTAGCCTACGTTAGTGATGGGTCCTTCGCGAACGAACGGCTCTTATTGAACATATATTTTTGGTGAACGTCGGGAACCGAATCGCATCGATGAAAGAGCCGTCACTATATGATGCTTATTATATCGATATTTGTGCATAAAGTCCACCGCCATTTCTCGCATAATTAATTTGTCAGGCACAAAGGCACACCTTCTCTAGTGTATTTTGTTTTGTCGACATTCTGAAAGATTACCGATACATTTGCTGTTTTCATCAGACCTGGCATGACATTTTTTATCCAACATACTTTAGCATAAAAAGGTTGGATGGAAACCTGGTTAGAGATCACATAATCATGTATTTTCAAATCCAATGTATTTTCCACGTATATTCAACTTCACAATATGTTGAAAAATTACATTGAAACAACGTTTATTCAACTAGTTTGTGCCCAGTCGGCTCTGGTTCTAACAGTTTAATGACGAACCATACACATGGCTAAACAAAGGTTTATTCAAAGAACTGATAAAGGTTCTCCACAGCACAAAAAAGGGTTCCCCTACATGGACAAAATGAAGAATCCTTTTTTTTGGGTACTAACAAGCACTTATTTTGAGCGGTTAGGGTTGAACCGGGATGTGGGCATGAAGCTAGGGTTAAGGTTCGGGTTGTGGTTAGGGTTGAACCAGGATGTGGAGCTGCTGCTGCTGGGCTGGGATATGAACCGATAGGGTAAGGGTTGTGGTAAAGACTAGGGTAGTCACACTGAATAGGGATTCATTTTGTAGGGATGAACTGTGTATTGATGAATTCGAGTTATACAGACATTTCCTCATTTTCTGCTATTGAGAAATGTTCTAGCATTTGTTGTTTATCTGAAACCACTGAACCGGAGCACGTTACAGAACTCTGAAGCCTCGATCACACCAACAGTGTTTCTGCGTTTTGGTACACCAGAAGTATGTACATTAATTTCCAATGGAACGCTGTGTTTGCCTTGCAGCATTGCATTGCAGTGCGTTCTGTGTGGCACATACATTGGATTTATCGAATATGCATCAAACTGTATGTGTAGAAGGCTTGACAGAAATGGTAGCAGAAGGTGAATGTTGCACACATTCAGATGATGCTGCGTACCATTTGGCGCAAAAATACTGTCGGTGTGATCGAGGCGTCAGATTGAGATTGAGTCTGTGACGCTTGCCAAACAGCGCACTCAAAATTAGGAGACGCAAGACCCTCGGAACCAATTTAGGCGTAACACTGGATGCTTACTGGTGATATTACTGCTCATACTTAATCAGAAGTGGATTCAAGTTGTGGCTGACCTTACAACTGTGTAATGTTTTTTTGGGAGACAAAGTAACCTGATGGAGTTTGACGATGCAATCGTTTGTTCTCCTCGCTTCTCTGTGTGGATGCGTCCTTTGCTCAGGTACATAACTACTGTTTCTCTTTTGTAAAAGTCAGTGTAGGTTTATTTATATTATGTATAACATTTGCAATCCCGAGTAATAATTTCTTAATTATTGTCTCGTTGCCCCAAAATCTCTCAATTTAAAGCCTATAGGCTACATTTTAGAATAAAACAAGATATTTTTGAGAAGCTAAGCCTCTATTCTAATATAATGTATACATTATGTTCTAAAATGATGCAAATATGAATGCAATCGCTTTAAATGTAGTCTTTACACACATTGACAGAAATGAATGATTTAACTTGTTTTACCTTCGGAGTCTGAGCCTACCTGTCGTAATCATAATACCAGTCAGTGAACATTATTAAAATGGTCAATCTGTCATTCAGACAGACGCATTAATAATTTCTGCTCCAACACCCTTATAGTTAGACAAGTTTATATTTTTGTTTGAACTATGGCTAATGCAATAATAATGTTTGGCCACACTGCATTCATATTTTATAGTAGATGACCCGACACACAGGCAGACATAAAGTAGGACATAGGATGTAATCAGATTTTATTTTCTTCAAAATAGTGATGAATAGCGATGTGTTTTACAAAGTGCTGCTATAATGTTTTTAATGTGTGACTGTACTGATTACCAATAAGGCAGCAAGGTTGAGTGGGTCAAGGATTCTTCATACTAATGATTATCTGTATATTAGCTGTTGGGATTTGGCATTTCACCAGAAGTGACAGTGATTGGATAGCCTTCACACTTAAACATGCGTCTGATGATCTCCTTTTTCTGAGACAGTGGTCATACTAATTTTAACACCTCATTATTATTAACAGTGTAGTTGAAAAAGCAGTGGCTATAGCATTTTTAACGGGTTTAAACCTCTGTGCTGTTTTACTGTCCAATCTGATTGAAAAGGGCGCTGGACAATGGACTTGTCTATGTATTAGAGAGGGAATAGAGACATCAACAGAAGGAAATGGCTCCCTCTTATGGAGTTTCTGCTCTGCATTATCTTCATGGAGGTTGCTTGGAAACACATGTGCTTCCATGTAGTGCACTGTAACTAGATATTTCCTTCCATGTATTTTAGGCATCACAATTAGTGTGTGTGTGCGCGTTTCAGTCTGGCCTTTTCAGATGCAGTGTTACCACTGTGAAGAGACACTGTTGGACAATGACTGTTCAGCTCCAAAGTTCATTGTCAACTGCACAGCAAACATCCAGAATGCCTGTCAGAAGGAGGTGATTGTGGATGAAAATGGTGAGCCTTGCTGAATTTATTCTAGTAGGTTAATAGTAAATAACTTTTTTTTTTACAAGATCGAAAATGTGCACCCTTTGACATGTGTAATTTTTGGTCAAGGCTTTGTCTTCTCTCTCTCCCTAGGTGTGATTTACAGGAAGGCTTGTGCCTCTTTCTCCACCTGTCTGATTGTGTCAGCAGGGTATCAGTCTTTCTGTGTCCCGGGCCGGGTGGGCTCTGTCTGTATTAGCTGCTGTAACACCCCCCTCTGCAACGGACCCCGCCCCCCTAGGATCTCCCTGGCCCCCAGCCATCCTCCCACCAGCCCCACTACCCTCCTCATCATCACTGTTTCCATGGCAACACTGGACTGAAGGTTCTCAGGTGTGGAGGTGCCTGGCGTTGGAGTAAACACTGTCCTGAGAGATGACTGTGGACAGAGATTCTGCAATCTATCAAGGCAACAGAGCTGACCGACCCATACTGGTCCATTGACGGACGGGAGTGACAAATTCATGAGAAATGTAGGCAGTGAATGAGAATTGACCCAAAAGTTTATAAAAATAAAATGTTGCCTCCATAGTAAATTAAGTATTCGCATAGGGAGATTACATTTTAATATCATTATTGCAGGCTGCGCCAAATCAAAGAACTAGTGTTTGTATCCCAGAGATGACTGATGAGTGTATAGTACTGAATGTACCCTATGTTCACGGTTAGGATGACACACACTTGGTGTACAAAACATTAGGAACACTTTCCTTATTACAGCCTCAATTCGTCAGGGCATGGACTCAAGGTGTCGAAAGTGTTCCACATGGCTGCTGGCCCATGTTGATGCCAATGATTCTCACAGTTGTGTCAAGTTGGCTGGATGTCCTTTGGGTGGTGTACCATTCTTGATACACACAGGAAACTGTTGAGCGTGAAAAACCCAGCAGCTTGCATACCCTGTTCAAAGGCACTTAAATCATTTGTCTTGCCCATTCACCCTCTGAATGGCACACATACACAATCCATGTCTCAAGGCCTAAAAATCCTTTAACCTGTCTCCTCCCCTTCATCTACACTGATTGAAGTGGATTTAACAGGTGACATCAATAAGCATTCACCTGGTCAGTCTGTCATGGAAAGAGCAGGTGTTCCTAATGTTTTGTACACTGTCAGATAGAAGTGATCTAAGCCCTGTTAAAAATCCCCATAGGGATGTATGTGCTACTTTGCAACCAGTTATTAAAACATGAGCATAAGTCTCATTGACTTAATCAAACTTTATTTTAACAAATTACATTAATGTAGCAGAATTACAACAGTAATTCCTGTAAAAGCAAAACAAATTTCACAGTATAAGATATGCAGTTATTTCATTTCTTAAACAGTAAAATCCTCAAGTTGAGAAGCAACAGGTGATTAGTTTGGTAAACTTGTTATTGGCACTAAGAAAAGAAAGCCTTGAGCTGCATATCAAAGAGGATGTTTGACTGCCAGATTCTGTTCAATGTCATTCAACTAAGGTTAACCTAAGGAATACAACCCATATCAGAAAGGAAACAGTGAATTTAACTTCATCTTGATTCCCCCAACATCAAGGAAGAGGATGAAACATTTGTAATGGCTAATCCTTTATCCAAGGACATGGGTAGTTGAGGACCAGTTCTGACTGGTAACTGGATGCTATGCCATGTGATTCAATGAGTTAATTGACTAGAATGGTTTGAATTTGGCAGAAATGCCATACCTTCTCAATTAATCCCATAACCCCTGTCACAAGAAATTACTTAATTAAAACTGTAAGTGCACCTTGTAAATAAATGTCACCCCTGCACCTTGGGCATACCATGAAGATTAGTGGGATTTCTTTCATTTCACCTCAATACATGAAACAGGTTCTAGTGATCACCTCTATTTCAAGCACTGAATCTTTGTTAGTAAGGGAAAGAGAACAAGCTTGACAAGAAATATATTACACTTGTCAATCCATAAACATCACTTTCTTGACACCATAGCGGACAACACCACCACCAGCAATTACCATTGACAAATATCATACAACTGCTATAGCAATCATTTGTGTTTTAATGAGTCCTGTCAGGTCTAGATATTTAACATTTAAGATGCAAAGCTTGGTCTGCTCTATCATTTGCATCTTATTAAAAAAACTAATATCCCCTAAATGGCACAACCTACAACATAAAAAGACTGTGGTTAGAGCAGCCTCACTTTGAGACAATCAATGCCTTAAATTAAACCAGTAAATTACTCTGATCAGTCAAGGGGAAATGTTAAACGCATGACTTCAGTAAAATGGGATTGTACTGTAATAGCAGTAGTAATATTTGTCATGTGCTAATAAATGATAAACCATGTAAATGACCACCTTACAAACTCATGTTCTTCATTACTCATCGCAACGCTGAAAGCCTGTGATGTCATAATTGAGACTAATAATGGTGTGGGGGGGTTAAGTGGCAGAATTCCCAAATGGACATTCACAGAATTAACAACCTCCCACAACTCCAAACGGATACTGCACTTTTATCAGTAGGTATATAAAAAGTGGCCTTTTAAAATTATTTGAGGCATTGATTTCCTACTTAATCAGATGGAAGAGCAAAGAACAAACAAATTGTCTCCTCAAATCGTTACCTGACAACGCAAAAATAACTATCTAAATAAGTCTGTTAGTTAACTTCACAAAACTACACCATCCCTTCAAAACGGGAGTTCTTTAAGAAAACACCAAAAAAAAAACACGGGGACGTCTAGGACCTTCACATCTACTTTTAAATACATCAAACCTTACGCCAAATTCCAAATCCAACCAATCGATTCCTAAAAATTAAGACACTATATCAAAGTACAAAATCAAATATGGTCTAAATAATGATTTAGAATAATTAAGCAATTAATGTGAATGCAGCAGAAGCACTCCTGATGCAATTCCAGGTCACAGATATTTTATTTGCTTGCATTCCTCCACATTTACTTCTTCTCCTTCTTCTTGTTGTCCTGCTAAATAAAGAGAACAATACAGCTCTTTATAAAACAGACATCCATTTTCACTTCAGCTAATTGACATTAAACCATGCAAAGTACAACACTACAATATGCTGGTTAATCGTACACATTGTATTTAGAATGCTTTCTGGTCCTAGGTTCATGTTTTTATATGGTTCAAAACATAGCAATGTGTATGAGAGATAGTGGAAGTATCATATAGTCGGTATACTATATAAAAAGCAATACACTGTCAATATTGTACCTTCTCATTCATGGCCAGAATAACCATGAGCTTCCTGAAGATGGTCACAAAGTCCAAGAAGAGATCCACAGAATGCCTTCAATAGGGTGAAGAGAGAAGTGTTATCAAATATCTTCTAAAACTTTTGATGAGCCACAATACCAAGTGCATTGTATACCCTACTGTATGTTTTTCTGTGTTTGAGAAGGAAAGATTGCGTGGGCAATCTAAAGTGCGACCATATGCTCCTTAATATTCTGTTGTGCGACCTGGAATTTTAATTTGGGAGCACCAGTGAGCCTAGAAAAAAAACAAGCAGATAATAATAGTTGTAATGATTAGTCTTCGCTGTACTGTTGTTTCCGAGTGCCTTAGAGAAAAAAGCCAGCACAGCGTTATGGTTGCACCATTACTAGGCTACATCCAACGGATTGTTTCTAGCCCAAACATTTCAAGATTAATTAAATTAGCCCAAGTATAATCATTTACATTTTAGTCATTTAGCAGACGCTCTTATCCAGAGCGATTTACATGAGCAATTAGGGTTACGTGCCTTGCTTAAGGGCACAGACAGATTTTTCACCTAGTCGGCTCAGGGATTAGAACCAGCGACCTTTCGGTTACTGGCACAACGCTCTTACCCACTAAGCTACCTGCCACCCATATCATGAGACATAAACAGAATGCATCAGTGATTCGTATTTCCTGCAACTTTCTGAAGATGCAAAGCACAGGAATGTCCTGTCTGTGTGCGCGCTGTGCCGTTTGTGCGTATGTCTACCACTTTGTGTAGCCGTTAGCGATGCTAATGATAACTGCTTTCTGGTAGATGGAAAGGCTCTCTCAAAAACCTTTTCAATTAAATGTTAACTACAAAGTAGCCTATCCCTACCTGGCAGAAAGATCTCATGCTTACTTGCATCAATCCATTGAGCATTTGTTTTGCATACTCTGCACACACACACACATGGGCTACAGAAACACTTTGAACCAAACAGTCTATTGCTATAGGTGCATGGTGTGCACTTGAATTAAAAGGTAACTACACTTAAAAATTAAAAATATCTTATGTGGTCACCTGATGTGGTTTAAGCATTGTTGTGGATTTAGAAAAACAACAAAACTGGATGTTCTATTTAAAAAGTGATTTTGAAAGTGAAAACCTGAAAATAAATTGAAAATCTAAACCTGGAAACGGAATTTGGGCAAAACAAAACGGGAAATACATTTTATAGGGCCCCAACTATGTAGAAATCTAATATTCAACAAATAACTATTTTCAATGACGGGTATTTGTATCAACATTTTTGCTTTTTATCATTAACAAATGTATTTACAGGGTTACCTATAAGTTTCTATGACACAACATGTGCTTCAGAAGTAGGTCGAATTCATATGGGCCCAGTGTAGTTCAGTTGGTAGAGCATGGCGCTTGCAATGCCAGGGTTGTGGGTTCGATTCCCACGGGGGGCCAGTATGAAGAAAAAATTATATGTATGTCGCTCTGGATAAGAGCGTCTGCTAAATGACTAAAATGAAAATATAAGTTATAAGCTATATCTCAATTTTTTTTTAAATGTATCCTATTTTCTGGTGCTCCTAAATGTTGTTGTGCTCATAACTTTAAGCTGGGAGTACCAGTGGTACCAATGAAACATTTTAATTTAGAGCCACAGGCTGACAGACACACCCATACAAGTTTCGAAATTCCAGATTACAAAAAATTATGTTTCAACATCTAACCACTCACCCTCCTCACCAGGTCCAGAGAGAGTGTGTGTCCCTTACCAGATGTAGTCTTTGTCTCCCATCTCAGCCTTTTCAATGATGAGTTGAGTGTCAAACAGCACGAATCCACACATGATGGCCAGGCCAAGGTACACGTGAGCCTACACACACAGAGAGAAATGCTTGATTGGTGAAAATGACAACCAGCACACTAAGTCATAGCTAAGTCCATAAAGAGTAGTGTTGGACAGCACTGTGTAGCACTGTGTAGCAATAATAATGGATAAAAAAACAGCAAACATGACAATATTGGGTTGTTTTCCTCTTTACCGTAAACAACATGACAGACCCCAGGAACATGTTGAGGAAAGAGACCAGGAGCAGGATGGACAGTCCGGACATCAGAGTACCTGAAAGACGGAGAGAAGAAAATGTTCGATAAATAAATGAACAGAATAGAAAGTTGGAAACTTCTTTATTAACAACTTGGGGTATGTGCATTTGGTAACATTGGTTTAGTATGACGTTTGTATTTAGTGAGCACAGTCTCCCTAAATCCAGAGTGGTAAGTTTCAGTTCCTTAATAAAAAGGACAACTCCAGCACACGTAATGAGCACACTTTTTTCTCCATGCACCTGGTAGCACTTCAAGGTGTGCGAGTTTACTTTCTATAGTTTCAGTTCCTTTACATTACACAATATCTGGTTAGCAGCAAAGAACACTTTGGTATTTATTAGGATCCCCTTTAGCTGCTGCAAAAGCAGCAGCTACTCTTCCTCGGTGCCACATGAAACATGACATAATACATAGTACAGAACATTAGTCAAGGACTGAACTACATACATTTAAAAAACTTCACACATAGACCTTGATATTGTGTGTATGTACTGATATGTAGGCTAATACATAAGTGCAAATTACAATACAATATATATAAAATGGCTGTGTCTCTTCCCAGTCTGTTATTTTATCTGTTGTTTTTTTTAATCTGGTTTTATTGCTCGCTTGAGTTACCTGGTGTGGCAGAGAGTTCCGTGTAGTTATGGCTGTATTTAATACTGTGCGTTTCCCAGCCTCTGTTCTGGACCTGGGGACTGTGAAGAGACCTCTGGTTGCATGTCTTGTGTTGTACCAATGAGTGTCCAAACTGTGTGCCAACTGCTTGAACAGACAGTTCGGTACCTTCAACACATCAATACCTCGCACAAAGACCAATAGTGATGCATTCAATCTCTCCTTAACTTTGAGCCAGGAGAGATTGACATGCATGTTACTGACACTTGCCCTCTGTGTACACCTAAGTGCGATACGTGCTGCTTTGTTCTGGACCAACTGCAATTTACTGATGTCCCTCTTTGCCGCACATGACTACACAGATTGGCAGTAGTCCAGGTGCGACAAAACTAGGGCCTGTGGGACTTGTCTGGTCAACTGAAATGAAAGGAAGACAGACCTCTTCCCATTTTAGCAACCATTGAGTCTATATGTTTATGTTTTGACCATGACAGCTTGCTATCTAGAGTTATACCCAGCAGTTTAGTCTCCTCAACTTGCTCAATCGCCACATTATTCAATAATATATCTAAATGAGGTTTAGCGTTGAGCGAGTGATTTGTCCCCAAAATTATGCTTTTAGTTTTTGAGATATTTAGCACCAGCCTATTGCTAGTTACCCATTCTAAAACTGACTGGAGCTCTATGTTAAGGGTGTCAGTTAATTATTTTACTGTGGCAGCCAACGTGTATACTGTTGAGTTATCAGCGTGCATAGACACAGGCTTTATTCAAGATCAGTGGAAAGTCATTAGTAAAAACAGAAAACAATAATGGCCCTAGCCGGCTGCCCTGCGGTACGCACACAACTGAAGTTGCATGAGAGAGGCTTCCATTAACGAAAACCCTCTGTTCTATTAGATAGGTAACTCTCAATCCATAATAAGGCAAATCCATAATACCTACGTTTTTTCAGCAATAGCTTATGATCAATGACATCAAAAGCTGCAGTGAAGTCTAACAGAACAGCTCTGCACTTCCCTATAAGCATGCTGAAAATCGGTTGTTCATTTGTTTTCTGTAAAATAACTAGTGAGGGAAAAAAGTATTTGATCCCCTGCTGATTTTGTACGTTTGCCCACTGACAAAGACATGATCAGTCTATCATTTTAATGGTAGGTTTATTTGAACAGTGAGAGACAGAATAACAACAACAAAATCCAGAAAAACGCATGTCAAAAATGTTATAAATTGATTTGCATTTTAAAACGAGGGAAATAAGTATCAGCAGGGGATCAAATACTTTTTTCCCTTACTGTATATTTGATAAAACATTTTTTTTCTCCAAATGTTTGCTAAGCACTTGTAATAGGCTGATTGGTCGGCTGTTTAAACCATTAAAGGGTGGGTGCTCTGCTATTCTTGTGTAGCGGAATGACCTTTGCCTCCCTCCATGTCTGAGGGCACACACAGTCTTATAGGCTTACATTTAAGATGTGGCAAACAGGAGTCACAATGTATTCCACCACCAACCTCAGCAATTTCCCATCCAGGTTGTCGGTACCAGGTGGTTTGTCCTTATTTATAGATTGCAACAACAACAAAAATGTCACCGCTTCCACACCCACTATGTGGAACTCAAAACTACAGTGCTCGTCTTTCATTACTTGGTACATTATGCATGAATATGAAGGTTCCGCACTTTACCTCCAAGGAAGAGGTAGCTCCTGCGCTGGGCATAGAGGGCACTCAGCGTGAAGCACAGAAAGATTATGGAGGTCCCCAGGAAGGCTGTCACAATGATGCTGGTTGGAGGGGGAAAGCAGAGAGATGTGAGAAAAGACTCATTCAGTCACCTCAGGAGAAACCCCTCATTCAAAAGGAACTAGCTACTATACATATTATTACTGTCATCTTACCTTGGGTTAATAGAGATGACATAATCCATGGCTGGGCCCAAACCAACACCTGAAATGAAGAGGGAAAGGAAAACATAAAACATCAGCTCATGACTACTTCAATAACTAAAAATACATAGGCTGCGTTCCGATTCTCTACCCTTCTTTAGAAGTGTGCAATCGTACCCTCCCCCTCATGGGAATATGGAGGAAACCATAGAATTAGAAATTAGAATAGTAGAATGGACATGAACCTTTTTATGATGGGATAAAGGTCAGCCATTGTGATAAGAAAGTGTAAAATAATGAGTTTGAAGAATGTATATGCATTTTATGTTTGTTCACTAGCTAGCCATCCACTTTTAGAGGAATAATTTCATAAATCTTTCAAATTAACTACCAATATGCAAACATTCCATTCAAACAATGCAGTCAATCCACAGCCATACATTGGCTGAAATCAGTTGATAATAGGACTTAAACAAGTTGTAAATGCAACAAGTACTGATATTGTATCATATAATAGCACTCACAGCTTTCCAAGAAAAAAAAAAAAATTGAGACATTTGTCTGTTTAAATATTTGAGGATATTTATACAGAATTGTTCTAAAACCTGTATAAACTGTATTTATAATAATATGACAATATTTTAGTTTGACAATTCTATTACACATTTTCTGATATCACATGCCTTACTTTAAATTTTCCTGCTTAAGTCAAATCAAGATTATGCCTCTGACTGATGGGAATCACGTGACATGCAGAAAGATGGCTGCTTATCTTTCTCGCTCCATTCCTTGGATCCCCATTGTTCTACATTTGGCCTGTGAGCACTTATTTTTCGGAACCATTTCAGTTGATTTACACCAGCACACCACCGCAAGCAGCCTGTACCAGGCAGGATGGGTAAATGTACTTACCACACAGACTTCAGGATCTAGTAAATTCTGCTGTACCATAAAAATCTACCAAGTTACGGTCTTGGAACACTAATTTCCTTCTTACTCACATGGCGCTTAGTAGAAAAGTAATCTAACAATACAGAAGTGGCATGCTCAGTCACCAATTTTCCACAATCATTCCCTTCTTTCTGGGGGTATCCCCTTTTCATTCACTCAATGGGAGGATAGGGAGTGCATGTTTTGGATGATCTATTTAGAGATTAAGGTTTGCAAGTCTTGAATGATCTTAGGGCTATATTTCAATTACCTGGTACTTTCTTTTATCTACGTTAAAGATCACCAATGCGGGCGTATGGTGTCCCTCGGGACTCATCCCTCCCACAACATAAACTACATAGAATATTAGATAGACATGGTAACTCAGAGTTTGGTTACTGATCTGTATACTGTTATGTTAGTTGCAGCTTACAAAAATCAGTACCAGTTAAGAATCAATGGATAAGAAAACCATCTACTGTTGATATTTGTTGGGATCCTGTATGGGAGAACTTAGCGGGTTCTTCTAAGAATCCCAATCATCAGCTGACATACTTAATTTCACCTTACACCTAGAAATCATAATCTCTCCTCTGTGTGACCCATGTAACCAAGATACCTTTATGCATGTGTACTGGGAGTTCTCGGGTGTGAAGATATTTTGGAAAGAGGTATCCTCCGTCTTATCTGACGTACTTGATATCACCATACCTTGATCCACCAAACTGTTATTACTTAATGATAATTCACCACTAATGTCATTACAGTAAAGACGTATAACGTTGTCAGGTTTGACAGCAACAATTGACAGCTAGTTATCAAAATAACTACTGTAGTGAGTTTATTTCCCAACCGATTGCCATTATTTTCTTTACTTGTTACTCATGTGCAAAAGTGTACCCTTCTGATTTTATCACAATTGCTTGATTTTGTATTTAATTTCATGGAGTTCAGGTTGGGTGGGTTGGGGTAGTCGCCAGGAGGGGTTGGAGGGTGGGTTGATGCATCACGGGTGGGCGATATACACAGAGTGTACAAAACATGACCGACTGACCAGGTGAAAGCTATAATCCCTTATTGATGTAACTTGATGAAGGGGAGGAGACAGGTTATAGAAAGATTTTGAAGCCTTGAGACATGGATTGTGTATGTGTGCCATTCAGAGGGTGAATGGGCAAGACAAAATATTTAAGCGCTTTTGAATAGGGTATGGTAGTATGTGCGAGGCGCACCGGTTTGTGTCAAGAACTGCAACGCTGCTGTGTTTTTCACGCTCAACAGTTTCTCGTGTGTATCAATAATGGTCCACCACCCAAAGGACATCCAGCCAACTTGACAACTGTGGGAAGCATTGGAGTCAACATGGGGCCAGCATCCCTGTGGAACGCTTTCGATACCTTGTAGAATCCATGCCCCAACGAATTGAGGCTGTTGAGAGGGAAAAAGGGGGGTGCAACTCAATATTAGGAAGGCGTCTTTAATGTTTTCTACACTCAGTGTATGGATGTATAGGCTATGTGGTCTATTCTAATTGTATTTACCTACTGCATAACCATTCCTGCTGCTTTTTGTTATTGTCTGTGTTCCTTTAAAAATAAATAAAAAGGTTGATAACAAAAAAGGGTTATGCCTCGACTGCCATTCATTCCAATTAGACTGGTTTGGATTTCTCCATGACCAATATAGATGCGGTAAAGGAGTCAATGGAACACAGATGTTCCATTGACCAGATTGGCCCACATTCAACAAATCTGATCTAACAAAGTGGATATTCATCATCCGTCAAGGTTTATGTATTTTAACAGGCCCACAATGTGGTTGCTAAAGTCCGATTTGGATATAAACTCAGCAAAAAAAGAAACATCCCCTTTTCAGGACCCTGTCTTTCAAAGAATTCGTAAAAATCCAAATAACTTCACAGATCTTCATTGTAAAGGGTTTAAACACCGTTTCCCATGCTTGCTCAATGAACCATAAACAATTAATGAACATGCACCTGTGGAACGGTCGTTAAGACACAAATAGCTTACAGACGGTAGGCAATTAAGGTCACAGTTATGAAAACTTAGGACACTAAAGAGGCCTTTCTACTGACTCTGAAAAACACCAAAAGAAAGATGCCCAGGGTCCCTGCTCATCTGCGTGAACGTGCCTTAGGCATGCTGCAAGGAGGCATGAGGACTGCAGATGTGGCCAGGGCAATAAATTGCAATGTCCGTACTGTGAGACGCCTAAGACAGCGCTACAGGGAGACAGGATGGACAGCTGATCGTCCTCGCAGTGGCAGACCACGTGTAACAACACATGCACAGGATCGGTACATCCGAACATCACACCTGGGGGACAGGTACAGGATGGCAACAACAACTGCCCGAGTTACACCATGAACGCACAATCCCTCCATCAGTGCTCAGACTGTCCGCAATAGGCTGAGAGAGGCTGGACTGAGGGTTTGTAGGCCTGTTGTAAGGCGGGTCCTCACCAGACATCACCGGCAACAACGTCGCCAATGGGCACAAACCCACCGTCGCTGGACCAGACAGGACTGGCAAAAAGTGCTCTTCACTGACGAGTCGCGGTTTTGTCTCACTAGGGGTGATGGTCGGATTCTCGTTTATCGTCAAAGGAATGAGCGTTACACCGAGGCCTGTACTCTGGAGCGGGATCGATTTGGAGGTGGAGGGTCCGTCATGGTCTGGGGCTGTGTGTCACAGCATCATCGGACTGAGCTTGTCATTGCAGGCAATCTCAACGCTGTGCGTTACAGGGAAGACATCCTCCTCCCTCATGTGGTACCCTTCCTGCAGGCTCATCCTGACATGACCCTCCAGCATGACAATGCCACCAGCCATACTGCTCATTCTGTGCATGATTTCCTGCAAGACAGGAATGTCAGTGTTCCGCCATGGCCAGCGAAGAGCCCGGATCTCCATCCCATTGAGCACGTCTGGGACCTGTTGGATCGGAGGGTGAGGGCTAGGGCCATTCCCCCCCAGAAATTTCCAGGAACTTGCAGGTGCCTTGGTGGAAGAGTGGGGTAACATCTCACAGCAAGAACTGGCAAATATAATGCAGTCCATGAGGAGGAGATGCACTGCAGTACTTAATGCAGCTGGTGGCCATACCAGATACTGACTTACTTTTGACACCCCCTTTGTTCAGGGACACATTATTCAATTTCTATTAGTCACATGTCTGTGGAACTTGTTCAGTTTATGTCTCAGTTGTTGAATCTTATGTTCATACAAATATTTACACATGTTAAGTTTGCTGAAAATAAACGCAGTTGACAGTGAGAGGACGTTTCTTTTTTTGCTGAGTTTATTTAGCTGTTTTCGCTGCAAACCATGTAGAAGTTGTCCCTTTTCAGGTTTATAAGAAGCGACTGCTAAATGCTAACTCCCGTTCGTATAAGCTGGTAATCATAGCTAGCATACAGAAATCGATTTTTCTGACAGAGCTATGGAGCAGATGAGGTTACCTGTGAAGAAGGCAAAACCGGAGAGGATGGCCAGTCTCTTCTTCTCAGTCAGAGGGCTGTGGGGAGTCATAGCCAGCCAGGCCATCATGGCCAGGGAGCCCAGCATGGTCAACAGCCCACCCTAAATGGACACAAAACACACAGCAATAGTTATTATAATAATATAATAACATCAATGGTGATCGCCATTCACCAGTTAATGAAAAAACATCAATGCGTTACCACATACAATCAATCGTATGTTATATGGCCATCTTTTGTGAAATCTACCCCCCACTCTCCACACACTTAAGTTTTGTTAAAGGCCTAATGCAGTCAGAAACGTGGTCTTCCTGTGTTATACACTCACCAGACAGTTTATTAGGTACACCACCCCATTCATGAAAATGAATCGCTCCTACAGACAGCGAGTCACGTGGCCGTGGCTTGTTATATGAAGCAGGCAGACATCGAGGCATTCAGTTACTGTTCAGTTGTAAGTTAGAATGCGCAAAACGAGTCAAGTAATAAGTGTATCGACGACGTCGTCCCCACAGTGACCATATCCCAACCAGAAGCCATGGAGTACAGGCAACATCTGCACTGAGCTAAAGGCTCGAGCTGCCGCTTTCAAGGAGCGGGACACTAATCCGGACGCTTATAAGAAATCCCGCTATGACCGTTGACGAGCCATCAAGCAGGCAAAGCTTCAATACAGGACTAAGATCGAATCCTAGTACGCCGGCTCTGACTCTCGACAGATGTGGCAGGGCTTGCAAACTATCACTGATTACAAAGGGAAACTGCCCAGCGATGCGAGCCTACCTGACCAGCGAAATGTCTTGTTGCTCGCTTCTAGGCAAGCAACACGAGCACCATCTGTTCCAGATGACTGTGTGAACTTGTTCTCCCTAGCCGATGTGAGTAAGACCTTTAAACAGGTTAAAATTTGCAAGGCCGCGGGGTCAGACGGAACACCAGGACGTGTATAGTCCCCATTCCCAAGAAGGCCAAGGTAACCTGCCTAAATGACTATCACCCCGTAGCACTCACATCTATAGCCATGAAATGCTTTGAGGCTGGTCACGGCTCACATCAACACCATCATCCCAGACACCCTGGAGCAATTCCAATTCGCGTACTGCCCCCACAGATGACGCCATCTCAATTGCACTCCACACTGCCCTCACCCACCTGAACAAAAGGAATACCGCTGTAAGAATGCTGTTCATTGACTACAGCTCAGCATTCAACACCATAGTCCTCTCCAAGCTCATCACCAAGCTCAGGAATCTGTGACTGAACTAGGGCTGACCCCATTTAGTCGACAGGCTGTTAGTCAAGCGAGATTTTTTAGTCGAGCAGTTGCTAATTATTATTTATGTCATGGCACACGAGACACCGGTCTGATTCACGCCTGTCTCAGTAGACTAATCCATTGGAGGCAGCGGGGATGGCACAGTCATCACTCTAAGACAGGCATCGGCATTGTAAGGCATGTGTGCCACGAGGGTATTTTCCTCAGCACGCCAAGCAATTTAATTAAATTGATAAAATAAGTGAAATTGCATTGTTTATCTTGGGCCTACAGTATGTGTGAAGATAATGTGTCTTGGGTATACATTTTAAATGTTGTGTCAAGAAGGGGAGTGTGGCTTAGATTCTCTCCAGAATGTGCTCCCCCCAATTCATGCAAATTTTTTCATCACTTCATTGTGTAAATTGTTTGCCTCTGTTAGTGTATCAATTCACCATTTCATATATCAACAGTAGTACATTTAACGTTAATTCCCATAATTTCTAATCTACAATGTTTGTTTGGTTACGGTAATTTATGTTAATGCATTCAATAGGTTATTATTACAGTTGTTTACCATTCTCATTGTCGGAGTGGACAAGCTGTTTGTAGAGCTCACAACCTATTCTACACTTGTGATAAACAAGTTTCATTGTATTCTGTTTGGAACGCTCCTTTCAAGGTTGTGTAAGGACACGCACCCGATTACACATAGAAAGGCTACCTGGCCGGCGCGCAAATTTATAAATGAGCAGATTTGGGGATGTCTGACAGCATTTCTGATTGTCTTAACTCACCACCACTAAAAGAGCTGTGGAGCTTCAAAGTATTTCTCTTCACCTCAAACAGCAAGTTTTTACATCCATTGAGAATGGCAATAGTTCCTAATGTTGGCTATTTGAGAAATCGACCCAGCGCTCTCCCTTTTGATAACCACTGAGCCTCGTTGTGAAAGGGAAAAATGTAATGCTCTGATGCAGTGGAAACATCATGAAAGACCTGATTACTTATTGTCCCTTGCGCAAATACAGCTCTACTCACTGAGGGTCCAGAATTGTTAATACAATTTTGCAAGTTTGCTAGCGGGAGCTGCAGGCCATACCCAGTTGATACAATGTTTCAAGTTCGTTGCAGAAAGGCGGAGTAGGTAGCTTAGTGGTTAAGAGCGTTGTGCCAGTAACCGAAAGGTCGCTGGTTCTAATCCCCGAACCGACTAGGTGAAAAATCTGTCGATGTGCCCTTGAGCAAGGCACTTAACCCTAATTGATCCTGTAAGTCGCTCTGGATAAGAGCGTCTGCTAAATGACTAATTATTATTATTATTATTATTATTATTATTATTGCGATTGAAGAACAAACCTTTATAGGATACTTATAGTCAGGATATTTTCTACCTGCAATGTTCTTAATTGTTGGCTTTATGTAGCCTATTTGTACCTAGTTGGCAATAGAACAAATTATGTTATTTTAATAGAAATTAAAGTGTTCCACAAAATTTGCATATGAAAATCATAAGTGGGACGCAGATTGGTAGAAATGGTAAGACAAATTGTAAATTGCCTATTACCGGCAACTTCGGGAGCGTAACGGCAGAATCGGCGAAGGACAGCAGGAGGAGGATCGGGAACAGGTTCTGGTCATCTTGACCTGGCTCCCTCGAGTCATTTGTGTGTTTTAATTATTTAATCAAACAGTGCACTTAAAGCATCAGACAAGCTCAATGCATATACACTGCTCAGAAAAAAAGAGGAAACACTTAAACAACACAATGTAACTCCAAGTCAATCACACTTTCGTGAAATCAAACTGTCCACTTAGGAAGCAACACTGATTGACAATAAATTTCACATGCTGTTGTGCAAATGGAATAGAAAACAGGTGGAAATTATAGGCAATTAGCAAGACACCCCCAATAAAGGACTGGTTTTGCAGGTGGTGACCACAGACCACTTCTCAGTTCCTATGCTTCCTGGCTGATGTTTTGGTCACTTTAGCATGCTGGCGGTGCTTTCACTCTAGTGGTAGCATGAGACGGAGTCTACAACCCACACAAGTGGCTCAGGTAGTGCAGCTCATCCAGGATGGCACATCAATGCGAGCTGTGGCAAGAAGGTTTGCTGTGTCTGTCAGCGTAGTGTCCAGAGCATGGAGGCGCTACCAGGAGACAGGCCAGTACATCAGGAGACGTGGAGGAGGTCGTAGGAGGGCAACAACCCAGCAGCAGGACCGCTACCTCCGCCTTTGTGCAAGGAGGATCACTGCCAGAGCCCTGCAAAATGACCTCCAGCAGGCCACAAATGTTCATGTGTCTGCTCAAAATGGTCAGAAACAGACTCCATGAGGGTGGTATGAGGGCCCGACGTCCACAGGTGGGGGTTGTGCTTACAGCCCAACACCGTGCAGGACGTTTGGCATTTGCCAGAGAACACCAAGATTGGCAAATTCGCCACTGGCGCCCTGTGCTCTTCACAGATGAAAGCAGGTTCACACTGAGCACATGTGACAGAGTCTGGAGACGCCGTGGAGAACGTTCTGGTGCCTGCAACATCCTCCAGCATGACCGGTTTGGCGGTGGGTCTGTCATGGTGTGGGGTGGCATTTCTTTGGGGGGGGCCGCACAGCCCTCCATGTGCTCGCCAGAGGTAGCCTGACTGCCATTAGGTACCGAAAAGAGATCCTCAGACCCCTTGTGAGACCATATGCTGGTGCGGTTGGCCCTGGGTTCCTCCTAATGCAAGACAATACTAGACCTCATGTGGCTGGAGTGTGTCAGCAGTTCCTGCAAGAGGAAGGCATTGATGCTATGGACTGGCCCGCCCGTTCCCCAGACCTGAATCCAATTGAGCACATCTGGGACATCATGTCTCGCTCCATCCACCAACACCACGTTGCACCAGACTGTCCAGGAGTTGGCGGATGCTTTAGTCCAGGTCTGGGAAGAGATCCCTCAGTAGACCATCCGCCACCTCATCAGGAGCATGCCAAGGCGTTGTAGGGAGGTCGAGGCCACACACACAAGACTGAGCCTCATTTTGACTTGTTTTAAGGACATTACATCAAAGTTGGATCAGCCTGTGGTGTGGTTTTCCACTTTAATTTTGAGGGTGACTCCAAATCCAGACCTCCATGGGTTGATAAATTTGATTTCCATTGATAATTTGTGTGTGATTTTGTTGTCAGCACATTCAACTATGTAAAGAAAAAAATATTTAATAAGATTATTTCATTCATTCAGATCTAGGATGTGTTATTTTAGTGTTCCTTTATTTTTTTGAGCAGTGTAGTTGATTTTATTAAAACACATAGGGTGTGTCTATATAGAAAAATACACGTTTGAAAATGTTTACCAATTAATTGGTCAAAAGAACAGATGGCTCTCAGTCAACCAAGGTTTTTTTTTTTTTTGTCGGGGACAACCCTAGACTGAACACCTCCCTCTGCAACTGGATCCTGGACTTCCTGACAGGCAACCACCAGACAGTGAGGGTAGGCAACAACACATCTGCCACACTGACCATCAACATGGGGGCCCCTCAGGGGTGCGTGCTAACGCCGCGTTCAAAACAACTGGGAACTCTATATTATCGATTTGAACGGTCATCCAACTCAGAATTCCAACTCGGGAACTCTGGCCTCTTTCTAGAGCTCCGACTTTCCGACCTAAAGATCACTGACGTCATGATTTGACTTCGTATTTTTCAGAGTTTCCAGTTGTTTTGAGCGTGGCATTAGCCCCCTCCTGTACTTCCTGTTCACCCATGACTGCGTGGCTATGCATGGCTCCAATGCCATCATTAAGTTTGCTGACGACACAATGGTTTGTAGGACTGATCACGAGGCTGCCTATAGGGAGGAGGCCGGAGACCTGGCAGTGTGGTGCCAGGACAACAACCTCTCCCTCAACATCAGCAAGACAAAAGGAGCCGATCGTGGACGACAGGAAACGGAGGGGTGAGCACTCCCCCATCTACATCAATGGGGCTGTAGTAGAGCGGGTCAAGAGCTTCATGTTCCTCTGTGTCCACATCAACAAGGAATTAACATGGTCCACAAACCCCCACACAGTTGTGAAGATGACACGATAGTGCCTCTTCCCCCTCAGGGGGCTGAAAATATTTGGCATGGGCCCTCAGATCCTCAAACAGTTATACAGCTACACCATTGAGAGCATCTTGACTGGCTGCATAATCGCTTTGTACTGAAACTACAAGGCATCCGACCGCAAGGCGCTACAGAGGGTGGTGAGTAGAGGTCTTCACGGATCCACCTGTACCCGAACACCCGAGACCCGATCCAGGACCCAAGCGGGATCCAGAATTCTAAATAATATCACGGGTCTGGGTCGGATCTGATTGTCACGGTCTTGAGTATGTGTAATTTTAACTGACTTGGCCGGTAGGACTCGTACAGATCTGAATGCAACTGCTGCAGTAGAGAGAAATTGTATTATTTATGCTGCTACCCTTGCTTTTCACGAGTGGAGCGTTGCACATGTAGCTTGCTGTTGGCCAATCATAAGTCATCAAAGCAGCAATAGGCTACAGTCATAGAGCCTCACTCCGAGTGTGGCAAAAGTTTTTTGGACCTGTGAAGACCTCTAATATTGAGTACAGCCCAGTACACCACTGGGGCCTTGCTCCCTGCCATCCAGGACCTCTATACCAGGCAGTGTCAGAAGAAGGCCCCAAAAATGTGTGAAAGCCCAAGTCTGGAACCAACAGGACCCTGAACAGACAGTTTCCACCCCAAAAGGCTAAAAGAGAACGTTCCTTATGGACAATTCCAAATAGTCTGCAGAATTTGCGATCAGGAAACAGACGTGTCCAATCTGCTGAATTGGAGAATCGCTTCTTGAGCCGGGGTTACAGTAGTCAGGTTCTGAAAGATGCAGGGACAAGGACGTCTTGACAGTGGACTTTTTACAGAGGGGAGCTCCTCGTGATGCACCAGAGTGTACTTTGTTACAAAATATAGCACTGAAGCAGAGAACTTTAAAATAATTGGGGAATCATCCAAAGTCATACACTACTACGCAAAGTCTTCCCAGAGCCACCAGTCATAAACTTTAAGAGAGGTATTACCCTAAATAACAAACTAGTCCACAGCTACCTTCGCAGCAGGTAATCTAGTGGTTAAGAGTGTTGGGCCAGTAACCGAAAGGTTGGCTGGTTCGAATCCGGAGCCGACAACGTGAAAAATCTGTCGATGCACCCTTGAGCAAGGCACTTAACCCTAATTACTCCTGTAAGTCACTCTGGATAAGAGCGTCTCCTAAATTACTCAAATGTAAAATGGTGACTCTCAAAAGACAAAATACTGCACAGAAAAAGTATTTTGCTGATACAGCTTCTAACACGGAGTATCAAGTCAAGCATTTCATTATCTGTAAAGCCACTCATGTCATCTACAGATTGGAATGTCCACAGTGCAAGGTATTCTACATTGGACGGACAAAGAGACACCTTTAAGACCGCTTAGTGGGACACAAGTACGCCACACAGGTAGGCAACAAAGACTGCCCCATAGATTGGAAATGATGCAGACAATTACATTGATGGAAGCTACAATCTATTTGCAATATTAAACCTGATCTACACCCAATTTATTTTATTATAATAATAATAAAATAAAAGACTACCCCATGGCAAGGGAATACAAGTCCTTACACCATGGCAACCCTGCCTCCATACAAGCTAAGGGTATTGATCATGTTCAGTCCTAAATTAGATGAGGGGACCGCGTTCAACAGCTAACCCAAAGGGAATGTTGGGGGATTTACAAACTACAGGCCACTAAGTACCCTGGTTTAAAGGAAGATATGGATTTTTCACCGTTCCTGTAGGGTCTTAGCGGTCCCTTTACTGTCATCTAGTGGACATATTGCCCTACGCCATGTTTGGACTGCGTTGATCCATGTTTGCCGTCATCTAGCGTACTATAAAATGTATTGCTCTCCTATTCTCACAATTTTTCCCACTCCTATTCAAGGCTAGAACTACTTTGTTTTTCTAGTGGTTCTAATACTTCTGACCTTGATGTGCATTTTGATAGCATATCTATTTCAATGTTGAATGTATAGTGTTGTTTACTAGGTGTTGTCCAATTAATTTGGAATATAGGCTGTTCTGTGACCACTCCCTCTTCAATTAGGGTTGATTGGAAAATGGTTTGTTCAAAAGAAGACATTGTATCATTGTACTCCCCGATGAAGGCCATGCAGCCGAAACGCATCAGAGTTTTAAAATCTTTGTTCCATTAAACATGCCATACAAATAAAGGTATTTTAATGAATTATATGAAGAGTGCCTTGGTTCTCTTTTCTTTTTGATAGCTTCTACCCCAAGCCATAAGACTGCTAAACAAGACTGCTAAATAGCTAATTAAAATGGTTACCTGCTGCTGCTACTGTCTATGATCTATCCTGTTGCCTAGTCACTTTGGCCCTACCTATACGTACATAGCTACCTCAATAACCTCATACCCCTGCACATCGACTCGGTACTGGTACTCCCTGTATATAGCCATGTGTCAATATCTTTTTTTCTTTAACTCTACATTGTTGAAAAAGGACCAGTAAGTAAGCGTTTCACAGTTAGTCTACACCTGTTGTTTATGAAGCATGTGACAAATCAAATTTGATTTGAGCCATTTGTGTTTCTTTTTTACACTTTTAAATTGAAAATCCCAGTAAGGTACTTAATTGTTATCCAGAAATGATTTGATATTGAGATTTTTTTTAAATGCTGCATTGGCCCTTTAATAGTACAGCACACTAATAAAGTGCTTTAGTTTGGTTGCACTTGTTCCCACTGCTGCCTCTACCACCACCTCTGTTTACCTGGAAGAGCCTGGTGACGACGTGGACGTAGGCTCCAGCTGCAGCCACAAACATGCACAGGGCCAGGCTGGAGTAGACATTCTTCAGGTGCAGCTGAGTGGAGTGGGAGCTGTATTGTATATGGAATAGATATATTTTTGTTCTTCATTAAGTTGCAAGACAACAAGAGTAAACTATATTGACACACTCTTCAAAATACAACACCCACAAAGCCTAACATCCACAGATTAATGTATGTATCACTACCCCACCCCACCCAGAATTAGCTAGGCTTGTAGCCTGAGTGGAGCGGGTGCTGAGATAGAGGGGAGAGTTTTTATTGTACGAGGAACAGGTTTAGCTCTACAGAAAATACACTAACAAAAAATGTCCACCTCATCAGTTAGGCCTATCTAGTCATATTCTACTTTGGTAACACATCTCTGTCTGTAACACTAGCAAAACCAGTTTGTGACCAGTACAGACTGCTTCCGTTGAATGAATGACTCATGATGATGACACAGTCATGGTGACACAGTCTCCTTACGGTTGTCAGACATTATGTGGAAATAGTAAACCAAGATACTTACATTTGAGAAAATTTAAAAAGGGAATCAAAATTTATACTTCGATCGAACACGTTCATCTTGTCTGGATTTGGTTGGACCCTGTCCCAGGAGTAAAATGTCCTGAAACAAAACAGATATGAGATGGACATTATCCATTGCTGTTGATTAGTACAGTAACGGCATGAAATAAACACAGCCTTCTTAATTTAGAAACTTGAACTAGCCTACATGTACTGGAATGGTAGAACTCAGAATGAAAGTGAAAACATGTCTGTCTGCATCACCAGAACCAAAAGTACCTTATTGTCACTTCCTATCTATTCTGGATCACATGCTTGGGTAGATCAAATAGATAGCAAACATTAACTCCCTGGGTCTGAAAATGAACATATGTAGCCTCCTCCACTTATGCATGGAATTAATTAGTGTTAGGATTAGCCTAAGTTACATTGCATTCATTACTAAGGTCTTGTACGGGGCTTTGGCAGAAGATACCGACCCTACCGTCACGCTTATTTACATTGAGCTGCACTGGGGTCGGAACGCAATCATGGTTACATTAAAAACTGCCCTTTTCATCCTCATGCTAGCTAGCAGTAGCCACCAAAGCCATTTATGAATGGCAGTGTCAGCCAATCAGCTCCTTTGTTGTTAAACGCGATGTGCCATTCCATAATGGCTGCTGCGGCTACTGCTAGCTAGCATGAGGACGAAAAGGGCAGTTTTCCGGGAAAACTAGCAGTATTTGAATGTTCTTGATGGAGCCGTTTGGATAAAGGTCAAATTGTGTACAGTGGCACATCCCATCCCTACATTGCGGTACGTTTTCCGACCCATATCTCAGCTGGCTCGGTGTCTTAATGCAAGGGACAGATTGACATTTACTGAAGGGGGGGGCTGGTCCAACTCAAGGTGTTAGAAAAATTTAAAAAATTCACCCCCTCCCAATGTTACAAATATATAATTTCATGAAGCTTCCAACTAACAGTTCTTGTGCTGACGTTGCTTCCAGAGGCAGTTTGGAACTCGGTAGTGAGTGTTGCAACCGAGGACAGACGATTTTTATGCCCTACAGCACTCGGTCACGTTCTGTGAGCTTGTGTGGCCTACCAATTCTTGTTGTTGCGCCTAGACATTTCGCCTAGACATATCCACTTCATAACAACAGCACTTACAGTTGACCGGAGCAGCTCTAGCAGGGCAGACATTTTGACAAACTGACTTGTTGGAAAGGTGGCATCCTATGACGGTGCCACGTTGAAAGTCACTGAGCTCTTCAGTACAGGCCATTCTACTGCCAATGTTTGTCTATGGAGATTGCATGGCTGTGTGCTCGATTTTATACACCTGTCAGCAACGGGTGTGGCTGAAATAACCAAATCCACACACACATATACACATACATATATATACATATACATATACATATACATATACATATATATATATATATGCCTAACCCCAGAAAGATGTAGGCCTAACCCCAGAGAGATAGAGATATGCCGGTGGCATGCTACGACACATTTCTTTATGTCATGTGGCTACTGCTTCTGCTATACAGATAAACATACAAAAGGCGGCTAATTTTCAAACATATAATATTTGGTATAAAGATAAGCATTATATTATAGAGGTCCCGTGTAGCTCAGTTGGTAGAGCATGGCGTTTGCAACGCCAGGGTTGTGGGTTCGATTCCCACGGGGGGCCAGTATGAAAAAAAAATTGATGCACTCACTAACTGTAAGTCGCTCTGGATAAGAGCATCTGCTAAATGACTAAAATGTAAATGTAATAGAAGTAACTCTGGTAGGCCAGAAACAGTCTTCCTCACCTCAAGTTCAACTGTCGGAGTCAGTTGGAGCGCCGGGCGAATTGCCTTCATATCATAGGCCTGCATTAGCTAGGCCAATGAAGACATTGTTTATACAGAAAATACAAGCAGAAGAGTGAAGGTAAACCAGGGGGAAAAAACTCACTACCCTACCCTGTACCCCATAAAAATAAAATCACACACAACCCTACCCAAAAAGGTTAAAAAAAATTTTTTGGACAACCCTCTCCTATTTTGGACCACCCCTCCCCCACAGTAAATGTCGATCTGTCCCTAACCATGATTGTGTTTTTGTTTTTTTTATAGCAGACGCTCTTATCCAGAGCGACTTACAGTTAGTGAGTGCATAGATTTTTCATACGGGTCCCCCGTGGGAATCGAACCCACAACCCTGGCGTTGCAGGCGCCATGCTCTACCAACTGAGCCAAGTGCAGCTCAGTTATGGGGCTTAGCCATTCACTGACTTGGTTGTAAAGGGTTAGGGGCTTCCTGAGTTAAAGCCTCAGTTCTCAGTCTCATCTCTGGTTATGTTTCAGATTTACTTAGCTAGCTAGCGACAGTTGCATAACCTAACACAAAACTACTGTAAATACATCTTGGCCAAAATCCCACCCGCCCCGGTAACGATAAACTATTACGGCTAACTACCATAAACAAATATTTAAACAACTGTCTAATGTGATGAAACCTTGTCGTAATCGCACACGAGTTAACAATTGCCCAGTTACATCAGGCCACCTACGCAATGGATTCAACATGACAGTCGCTACTTCGCGTTGGGAGGGCAAAGTGTAACAGGAAGCTACAGTAGGTAGCTCATTTCACGCTACAACCTACATGTCATTGTTAATTTTAGTTAGTCAAATCTACCTAGCTAGATATTTAGATAGTGTAACATGATGCTCCCAAACCATGATGCGGCTGGCTGAAGGGGGCGTTGTCATAATAGCCAGACATCTAACTTGATGTCAAACTATCCTAGTTAGCCAGCCAATTTGGCTAACGAAGGCCCTCTCCCCCAATCAAGCGCAAATCAAGCAAATTGTGATTATACGAAACAATGAACGAGCTAGCTAACGTTCATTCGCTAAATTCCAATTGCCTACTATAAATATAAGCACAAGCCTTCAAATAAAACATTGTATCAGGACAGTTTGTTTCTATTTATCGTGAACAAAATGTGAGTAGAAAGTCAGCCATTTAACTAGATCGCAAACAACGTTACCAGTAGCTGGCATCGACATTGCTGGCTAACGACGACGTTTTGCTTCTCGGTCTTTCCTGGCTCTTCAGTATCACGTCAAAACGACGATAAACTCAGGTGCCGTTTACAATTTACTGGTTAGCTGCATTAAATATTATTTAACGTACCTGATGTCGATATTTCCACAGTGGTCAGCAACAGATTGATTTGCAAGCTATTTCTTTACGCACTTTAGCCTTTTGACGCTGTTGTTGTTTCAATGCGTACGTATGAAAATTATAGGGTACGTCGTGACATCATAGGCGCTTGATAGACACGCCCCGAATATAGTGCAACAAATGTGCAACAGTTGCATGCAATGCATTGAATAAACCTTTATACAGTGCCGTGAAAAAGTATTTGCCCCCTTTCTGATTTTCTCTATTTTTGCATATTTTTGATACTGAATGTTGTCAGATCTTCAACCAAAACCTAATATTAGATAAAGGGAATCTTAATTTACAAATAACAAAAATAAATTATACTTATTTTATTTATTTCATTAACAAAGTTTTGCAAAACCCAATTCCCCTGTGTGAAAAAGTAATTGCCCCCTTACACTCAATAACTGGTTATGCCACCTTTAGCTGCAACTGTTGCATGGGTCCCATTATTCCTGGTGAAAACACTGCATTCCACAGTAAGAACCTTATACCAACTGTCAAGCATGGTGGTGGTAGTGTGATGGTTTGGGGATGCTTTGCTGCCTCAGGACCTGGACCACTTGCCTTAATAGAAGGAACCATGAATTCTGCTCTGTATCAGAGAATTCTACAGGAGAATGTCAGGCCATCCATCTGTGAGCTGAAGCGCAGCTGGGTCATGCAGCAATGATCCAAAACACACAATCAAGTCTACATGAAAATGGCTAAAAAACAACAAATGTGAATTTTTGGAATGGCCTAGTCAAAGACCAGACCTAATCCCAATTGAGATGTTGTGGCAGGACTTGAAATGAGTAGTTCATGCTTGAAACCCCACAAATGTTGCTGAATTAAAGCAGTTCTGCATGGAAGAGTGGGCTAACATCCTTCCACAGCGACATGAGAGACTGATCAACAAATACAGGAAGCATTTGGTTGGAGTCATTGCAGCTAAAGGTGGCACAACCAGTTATTGAGTGTAAGGGAGCAATTACTTTTTCACACAGGGGCATTGGGTGTTGCATAACTTTGTTTATGAAAGAAGTATGTAATTGTTGTGTTATTTGTTTACTCTGGTTCCCTTTATCTAATATTAGGTTCTGGTTGAAAATCTGATAACATTCAGTATAAAAAATATGCAAAAGTAGAGAAAATTAGAAAGGGGGCAAATACTTTTTCACAGCATTTCTGTTATAAAAAAAATAGTTTAGCATAAAATATATATTCAGGATTCAAAACAATTTAATCATACATATGAATGCGTGTTTGACTTTGACATTACTAACAACAATTTATTTAAGCTGGATGGGGGGGGACTCAGAAGAGTCAATAAAACAATCATTCAGAATACACATTGATTTTTTTATTAGGTTGAATGTATTCAATGTACGCTTAATTGAGTGGCAGACATACAGTATATAGTACAATATAGGGACATCTTTTTTAAATGCACAATTAGGAAAAGACAACTGCAGGTTTTTTATTTTTTATGACTGACTTTGTCATTAGATCGAAATAATAAGACATCAGTTAAAAGTAATGTTTGAACAAGGTACAATTAGTATGCTTTGCAAATTTTAACATCTGGAAATTGGTACAAAATTATGAGAGATTAATTCCCCTTAAAATAAGCCTTTGCCTTTTTTAACGCTCAGCTGCTTCCATTGAGGCAGGCTGGCAAAGTGGTCTTTAGACATTCCAAATATGGCATTGAAGTCTGAGTCTAAGAGATGTTTCTGGAAGACAGAGAGGAGAGAGAGAGAGAGAGAGAGAGAGAGAGAGAGAGAGAGAGAGAGAGAGAGAGAGAGAGAGAGAGAGAGAGAGAGAGAGGAGACCATTGTTATTTTTCAAGGCAACATTCAAGTGTAAAGAATACATTTGTCAAGACACTTTTATTAAAACTATTTGTAATACATCGTAACTCACAGTAGTCTATGGAGGAATCTACTTTTCACACTTAAAAAACTACTGATCAATATAGCATCTGAGTGTATCGGCGTGGCAGTACCTTGAACACTTGTCACTTCATTATAGCAGCTCAGTACACCTACCTCCTTCTGGGTGGGGTTGACACCCTCAGGCAGCTCATTAGCTAGTTTGTTGATCAGGTCATCTGGTGGGTAAGACTGGAAGCTCTTCCTGGTCTCAACACCATTCTGCTCCTGAGAGACAATGATTCGATTCAGGAGGCAGTGTAGAACACCATTTCCCAAAATGCACTGCTCCGATAACTTTCAAAAGATTGTTCTGAATTCGTGGGCCCAAAAAGTTTGGGAACCCCTGGGTTAGTGTGATGAACGTGATCAAATATATTTGCAATGGGAAGTAATAGCTGGTTTGTTAATTTCATTTTGGAAATGAAATGGTTGTGTTTTTGTATTGTTATGATTTCATGGGGCTTACTGGGGTGAATGGGCAGCTTATTCTTTAATATTATTTGATGCTGTGTGTGACTGTTGATAGCTGTGTCAATGTGTTTGACCAAAACCGGCTCTCCTTCAGCGCCATGGAGTGCGCAGGTATTACGTTCGCTGTAGTTTCAGCACCATGAGCCTGTCACCTTTGATGTGACACTGTTGTTGTCGCTATTGGTGATAGTGGTGTTAGGCTACTATTGGTTGTATAAACAGTGTTTTTTGTTTTGCTGTTCGCATTATTTTATGCTATGTCTCGCATGTTGTGTCCATGCCGGTTCCATCTCTGTGTGTGCGGCAGCCAAAACGCGCCTAGGCCTATTTTATTCATTCATAATGTCTCAAAGATAATTGCTCCTCTGGTCGGACTACAGAAGATAAAACGTCGGGCCCATTAAGCGATGCTATGTTTTCTGTTATTTTCTTTGATACAATGTATTGGAAGATTCTTGGCCCCTCTGAAGGCCTAGGTCCTATAGTCACGGTTCGCCACTGGTTCATCGTCTAGTTTTGATTTAGATTTGGTTGAGTTGTCAACTAACGTGAATTCAATGGGAAATCAACAAAACATTTCACAATTCCATTGGATTTAGGTTAAAAGTTGGGTGAAAAAATTACGAAATGCCCTTATGTTGATGACATTTTGCAAATACAATGAGTTTTCCACGTTGATTCCAGATCATCACATTGCGTTTTTTAATGGTGTGGAAACAACGTTGATTCAACCAGTTTTTGCCCAGTGGGAAGTGTGTATGGGGCCAATAAAATTGATGAAACCATGAGTCTGTTGGGTTGAGTTCACAGCAAGGTTAGGTAAATGGAACCAGCTCATCATTGTCTCAATCCCTCTCCTTACACCAAGTTATGGTGAGTGCATAGATAAATAAAATTGTGCTTACATTTGGGATCCTTACAAGGGATGTCACCTCACCCAACTCTTTCTTCAGCTCTTCGTAAGTTTCACAAAACATGTGTGTACAGTATTATTGATGGAATATATTAACTTAAACAGTTGTGTACACTATTTGGCACACACACACACACACACACACACACACACACACACACACACACACACACACACACACACACACACACACACACACACACACACACACGCACAAACACACAGAAACACACACACACACACACACACACACACACACACAAACAGACCAAGAGTTCATCTGTAAGAGAAGGAGATCATTTTCACTCACACTCCATTTGGAGGGGTCCCAGGCGGTGAACCAGCCGGTGAAGGTGGGGGGTTCGTACCGCTGCTTGATGAGGAGGATAGGGGTGTCAGGGTCCCGGGACCCTGGGTGGGTACGCAGGTACTCCTGACTGGTGACCACCGCCTCCTTCTTCTCCACCTCATTGGCCTCGTTCCCCACCCAGAGGAAGACCTGGTTATAATAGTATTATAGTCTAATGTTTGGACCTACACACTGAAGAAGGCTGTTAAGCTGAAATTTTAACAATACACATTGTACCTGGTCCCACGTGTCTAGTAGATTGACATCATCCTCGCTGAGGTCATCCTGGGTGAACTGGGTCACCTCGATGACGATGAAACGGCCAGTCTTATTGGAGCATTCAAAGAGACACGGCTGATGATCCAGAGCAGCCTGCTGTTGTCTTTCAGAGCACACACACAAGACACACACAGAGAACACAAAGAACTTTAAATACAGCAAACAGTTTACTTGAAATTCATAATATCTAGCACAGTGAATCACAACCCATCAATTGTACATGGTTTAGGGTGCAATCACTTCACTAACTTAGTACAGCTGCTCCCATTGACATTTTATTAGATCATATTTGGTTGAAATACAGATTATGGCAAGGTAAACATACTACCATACTTTAAGTTTATTGGCATAAGGGGCCTTCCCTCCAAGTAAATCCCAGAATTCAATGTGCTCCTGACCCTCTGCCATGATCTCTTCAGCAGTCGAGTGCTGTCCAACCACAGCGCTGACCTCCTTAGCCATGGCCCTCTCATCCCCACTTGATCCCTGGCCAATCAGAGAGAGACTATTAGACAGAATGTTGTACCATCTCTATATCTCTGTGTCTGTGTCCCAAATGGCAACCTATTCCTACTTCTTTTGACCATTGGACCCTGGTCATTTGGTACGCACACAGTATCTCTAACCTGCTATATCTGTAGTATCCACAACTGCATATACCTAATTCTCCTCCCTACAGTACCTTGCCACACCACAGGTGAATCCCTGACTGGCTCCTCAGCAGAAAGACATCGTTGGAGTTGAGCGAGGCTGCCAGGGCCGGCACCTCGATGGCTTTGGTGTTGGAGGCGTCAGAACCGCGGACCTGGAACAATCTGACGGGTGGCTCTGGGTCAGACATGCCTTTTCTGGAGGTACCGCCCTGAGGAACAGAAGATGAGGAAAGTAGGTCAGGTTTGATTTAAACATACAGTATGTGGTAATAAATTACTTCATGGTTAGAAATCCTATATCAACCTATAATCATGGTTAAACCAAAGACAATCCATTGTTATCAGATAATGACAACCAGTTTCACAATATTTACATTTTATCATTGTACCATTAAATCAAAACAAAACTGTCTCACCTCACAGATTACCATTTTACCCTTAAACATGGCCATGAAGTGTCTGGGTTCCTTGCCCATGGTGATGCTCACTTGTACAGGCTGGTTGCCATACTTTTGATCCAGGGCCACGGCCTGGAAGGCAGACGCTGCTATCTCATCCTGAGAGGCATGGCTCCCCTAAAAAAAAAGAAAAAAATATATAAAGACGAGGCATTTAGGTCTAAAGGTATGCCATTACAAATAAAATGATTAAACTTTATTCATTCTACAATGGCAGTGAGCTCCCTTACTTGCCACATGTAGAGGAGGTAGTTTAGCTTGCTGTGGACCTCATAAGTGTAGAGCACCCGGTAGCAGTCTCCTCCATAGAAGAAGCCATGCCACTGGGGTTCCACTGGGACCAACTCCAGGTCCTCGATACGCCACACCTGCACGTGTCACAGAGAGTGTTACAAATTTCCACAAGTAACAAACGGTGAGTAGAATGACGGAGAGATATCTTGGAACAAATTACATAAATCAGAGTTCATGTTCTGGTGAGTTTACCTCCACCTGACCAGTGCCATCGTCCACCATGCGCTCCTGTGCCGCTACTTCTGGCATCACATGCATCCGTGTGGCATCAAACTTCTCCTGAGTGACGTTGGCTAAGATATATATGTACAGTTGAAGTCGGAAGTTTACATGCACTTAGGTTGGAGTCATTAAAACTCGTTTTTCAACCACTCCACACATTTCTTGTTAACAAACTATAGTTTTGGCAAGTCGGTTAGGACATCTACTTTGTGCATGACACAAGTAATTTTTCCAACAATTGTTTACAGACAGATTATTTCACTTATAATTCACTGTATCACAATTACAGTGGGAGAAGTTTACATTAACTAAGTTGACTGTGCCTTTAAACAGCTTGGAAAATTCCAGAAAATGATGTCATGGCTTTAGAAGCTTCTGATAGGCTAATTGATATCATTTGAGTCAATTGGAGGTGTACCTGTGGATGTATTTCAAGCCCTACCTTCAAACTCAGTGCCTCTTTGCTTGACATCATGGGAAAATCAAAATAAATCAGCCAAGACCTCAGAAAATAAATTGTAGACCTCCACAAGTCTGGTTCATCATTGGGAGCAATTTCCAAACGCCTGAAGGTACCACGTTCATCTGTACAAACAATAGTACGCAAGTATAAACACCATGGGACCACGCAGCCGTCATACCGCTCAGGAAGGAGACACGTTCTGTCTCCTTGAGATTAAGGTAATTTGGTGCGAAAAGTGCAAATCAATCCCAGAACAGCAGCAAAGGAACTTGTGAAGATGCTGGAGGAAACAGGTACAAAAGTATCTATATCCACAGCAGGGGCGGTGTGTTCAATAGGGCGATATGGGCGACGCACTGCCAAACGGGAAAAGGAAGGGATTTTTTTTCTAATCAATTATATCACGGCAACAGTAGTTATCAGTGTTGTAATCTAGACGTCTGATCTGCCACAGTGCCACTAAATGTCCAATCAGGCTAAAGTCGTGCTTCAAATGGCCCCCCCCCCCCCTTTTGGGGCGATTTCAGTCAGGTTGAAAATCGCCCAGAAGTCTGTCATAGACTCCCATGTAAAATCTATTTTTTTCAAATATCAGAGCTTTCAATACAATCTCTATGGGTTTCTGAGGGCTTGCACTTACGCGCTTTCGTCATACGTAACATAACCATGAACGTAACTAAGAAAAGAGCGGGTAGCCTCGTCAATCAATTCACTACTACTATCAAAATGGCTAGGCTTCAGTGCAACTCGATTGTGTCTTTGAAAGAAGTTCCTTTTTGTCGGCGAACAAATGAAGATAAATTGGCAACGAAACAATTAGGACCTCCCAGACCAAATTTAATAATTCAACAGGTTTCTACTAAAGGGGGGAAGTCCTACACCCGAGGATTTTCCAAAAATTGGTACGAACGAAAAACCTGTCTAGCAGGCTGCGATGTAGCTAATGCAGTCTTCTGCTACCCCCTGCTTACTCTTTCACCCTGAAGGCGGCACGGCAGACAGCACCGCTTGGACAGCGACTGGTGTGTAACGGACATGCACCATCTTTCAGGAAAGATTAAGAAACATGAGCTGTCAAAGACCCACATGGATAGCTGTTTGAGATTGTCTGCTTTGGGGAGAGTGAACATTCCCACTCAACTGGATGAGGGATACAGGCTAGCTGTCCGCCGCCACAACGATGAGGTTAGTGTTGATAATCACAAGTTTACTGGAGAACTGAAACTGACAAGGCTGACAAGATAGGACCCTTTTGTCCATTGTTATTGGATAGGAACAGAACTTATAACCAGCTCCTGACCTAAATAGATCTTAGCACAACATTTTACTCAACATATCATATTCCATATTCACTATAACAAATATATTTACTACAACATTAGCAAGAACCGCCACATCCTCAGCCGGCTAATCCAGTGTGTGAAGTTTTGCGGAGTGTTTGAGTTAGCTTTGCGAGGCAAAGATGAAACTGAGGGCTCCACCAACCCTGGTAAGCCAACACTTTTGAGATCAGTCAATAAATGCTTCTGGTATTGACTTATATGCTGCCCCTGTCTTCATGTTGTTGCTGGACATATCTTTTTTAAAATGTGTGTAGGTCACCTAAATCATCAGAAAAATTGCCCCCCCTGAGAATTTTTTCAGGAGCCGCCACTGATCCACAGTAAAACGAGTCCTATATCGACATAACCTGAAAGGCCGCTCAGCATGGAAGAAGCCACTGCTCCAAAACCGCCTTAAAAAAGCCAGACTACGGTTTGCAACTGCACATGGGGACAAAGATCATACTTTTTTGAGAAATGTCCTCTGGTCTGATGAAACAAAAATAGAACTCTTTGGCCATAATGACCATTGTTATGTTTGGAGGAAAAGGGGGGTTGCTTGCAAGCCGAAGAACACCATCCCAACCGTGAAGCACGGGGGTGGCAGCATCATGCTGTGGGGGTGCTTTGCTGCAGGAGAGACTGGTGCACTTCACAAAATAGATGGCATCATGAGGAAGAAAAATTATGTGGATATATTGAAGCAACATCTGAAGACATCAGTCATTAAGTTAAAGCTTGGTCGCAAATGGGTCTTCCAAATGGACAATGACCCCAAGCATACTTTCAAAGTTGTGGCAAAATGGCTTAAGGACAACAAAGTCAAGGTATTGTAGTGGCCATCACAAAGCTCTGACCTCAATCCTATAGAACATTTGTGGGCAGAACTGAAAAAGCGTGTGCGAGCAAGGAGGCCTACAAACCTGACTCAGTTACACCAGCTCTGTCAGGAGGAATGGGCCAAAATTCACCCAACTTATTGTGGGAAGCTTGTGGAATGCTACCCGACACGTTTGACCCAAGTTAAACAATTTAAAGGCAATGCTACCAAATACTAATTGAGTGTATGTAAACTTCTGACCCACTGGGAATGTGATGAAATAAATAAAAGCTGAAATAAATCATTCTCTACTATTATTCTGACATTTCACATTCTTAAAATAAAGTGGTGATCCTAACTGACCTAAGACAGGGAATTTTTACTAAGATTAAATGTCAGGAATTGTGAAAAACTGAGTTTAAATGTATTTGGCTAAGGTGTATGTAAACTTCCGACTTCAACTGTAGGTAAGACAGTGTTGAATCACAAAACAAAGACAAGGTGAGGAATTAGATACTAAAGGTAGTATTTGCCAAGTACTCACATCTCAATCATACATCAAAAAGGAAGAAAGGTACAAAGGGGTTCTTTGTAGAGGGATATGGGTCTACCTTTTTCATCTTAAGAACCGTTTTTGGAAGAAAGGGTTCTTTTGATTATTTTTTGGAAGGGCAAGAAGGATTCTTTGGAAGGCAAGACCGGTTTAAATAAAACCCTTCTGAATCTGAATAAGCTTTTAAATGTATTTTTTCTTCTTCTTTTAAATAGTGCCTTGAGCATGAAGGTTTACCTCAGTGTATAAACTTTAACCCTCTAGAGTTGAAAAAGATTGAAACGGAGAAGTGAAAGTGGTCAGGTGAAATTATGAAGTGAGTGGACAGAGAAATACAGCTTCACTCTATCCAATCAGAGTAGCAGGGTCCTACAGCTAGTCCTTCTCTTTACAGACAGGCAACCTAGCCAGTTGAGTTTTTTTTTTGATCACGGATAATTACAAAAATACTCAGATCATAATCGTATCCAGGAAATTGCCAATATCCGTTAAGATACTAGTTTTATCCGACTACTCGGCAAACCTCTAACTTATTGCACCAATTACTGAGATGGTTGTTTCAGTTTACATGATTTAGGTAGTCTCAATTATCAATCTTTCCTACCCTGGCAGTCATTCTGAATGCAGGTTGTGGGTGATTAAAAGTTCAAATTGTTGGATATCCTACCACTTGCTGGAATCCATTAGGAATTACACATCAATTTGCACGCTTGCATAATGTGACTTGCAGGCCTGATGTGGCCTGAAAACCAGGTGTTAAGGTATAACTAGTCCCTCAAAGAAAGGCCTTATGATATATCCCACTGGGCACACCATGTAATTTCAATGTGGAAATTTGGGTAATATTTGGTTGAGACGTTGATCAATGAGATTTCAACCTTTATTCACCCACTCAAAAAGACAGCCTAAAGTTTGTTGAAATCCCAATGTGTTATCACTATGCTTTCAATAATCTAAAAGCACAACCACATTCCAATGGAAAAACAATGTCAGATTTTTGGTTTAGTTGTCATCTAAATGTGTTATCACTGCACTTTAAAAGCACAAAAAAGTTCAAATGGGAGTACATTGTCAGATATTTTGTATTTGTACAACAACTGAATGTGTTATCACTGTGCTTCATCTAATAGCACAACCAACCAAATGACCTAAATGGCAGTTGAAATTTCATTAAAAGTACCTAGTGAGAGTGATCAATGCTGTTTGAGATTCTGCGCAGATTATTATAGCAATTGTGAAGATCTCCACAGACCTGTGACCTTTGCATGCTATCTTGAACATGCACACTTTCTATGATTACATAAGACATTTATAGTTATAGTAGGCTAACCTCAATGTGGCCATGGATGTGTTACTCATTTTAAGGTTGAATAAATAATGTTACATTAGTTTAAGATAGCCTTAACTTTAGGCTATTTACTGTATTACAAAAGTAATATTGAATTGTGTTTGGTTGTGTCACGCTCTCCCGCTCCGGTGCTCGACGTCGCGGGTCTACTAACCACCCGGCCTGGCAACCCACATTACGCACACCTGGCAACCATCATTACGCACACCTGCTCCCCATCGTTATGCACACCTGGACTTCATCAGTACCTTGATTACTTCCCCTTTATTTAGCCCTCAGTAGCCTCAGTCTTCAGGCAGCGTTGGTTATGTTTTTCATGCCCTGTACGCAGCTCTTGTTTTGTATAACGTCATGTTCTTCGTTATTAAACTCACCAACTGCACTTGCTTCCTGACTCTCTACATTACAGAATACTGCCTTAACAAATGGAAGCAGCAGAAAATCCAGACATCTCCCAGAGGGTCGGCAAACAGGAATACCTAATCCACCAACACCATGACCAACTTGCGTAACTGGGTACAGTTATGGAT